AAAAAGTCATTTTTACTACTTTTTTATAAAAATAATTAATGCATTGATAATAGTTTTAGTACGAGTAGTTATTTAATTACAATCATTTTAATACATAAAGTGGATTATAGTTCATACTGGTATATATTTATAACACATACTCCATCATCCTTACATACCCACTCTATTTAATAAAATACTTGTAATTCATAATTACTCATCCTAAAATTATTATCTAAACATTAATCATTTTTGTAAGAAAAGTTCTTAAAACTGTTTATTTTGAAATTTCTAAAAAAATTTTATTATTCAAATTATTTAAAACAAAAAATATGATTTTAACATAGTCTAACAATAAAAAACTCAATTATGTTAGAAAAATTTCAAATTAATGTCAATAAAACAAAAGTTATAAGAATTGTAAGTCAGATATATTCCATTTTTATAAATTAACTTGTTATAGAAAACAATATAAATAAAACCATGAAAATAAATGACTATAAACTTTCACTTATGAATAAATTAATATACTTGTTGCTGCTCTGTAGTATACGGTCTTGAGGGAACAATTAAAACTAGAGCACCAGTACCAGCAGCTATTTGTTCATAATCTTCAGATGTAAAATTGTCCATTAAAACAAACACACAATGTCTGGAACGGTTGCTCCATGTTTTTAAAGACCTAGCTTCTAAATTAATAATACTGTTTTTTGACCCTAAAAAAACAATAAATAGCAAAAATAAAAGTATATAAAATATGAACATCATTTAATTTAAATAAGTAAAGCCTTACCAAAAGAGGCACTCTGCAAACTATACTGTTGAGCACGATAAACGGTAAACTCATGAGCAGCATTTGCAGGGCAAACAGGGCTCAAAATTAATAATAGGGGTATGGTAATTAACAAGTACATAGGAAACCCGGTTTTTAGAATTTCTGTAAACTCATTAGATTCCCCTAACATTATTTTTAGAAATTATAATAAAAATTTAATAGTATTGAAAAATAACAACTAAAAATTTAATCTGTTAAAAAGAACTAAGAGAGTATAACTACAATAAAAATTAAATTTAAGGCGTTTTAAATATTCATTTTTATTTCATGGTAGTTATCTACTCCAAGAAAGTGACTTCTCACATGATATTATTATCAACATTTATTATCACTTATAAAACAAACTTTTGTTGATGACATGGATGAATAAGTTACAATTATCTTATAAATTTTGCTATTTTAAATATTATCACATAGATGACGCTATAAGTTATATACTACCATTGAGTAAAATAATATACTATCGTAAAAGTATATTTTGTACAAACTTCTATCAAAATCTAGAACTTAGATAAATTTGAACTGGAAATAAAAAGACGGACGG